GACCAAGGACACTTAACTGACACCTCGGTTTGGGCCAAAAATGAGTTTGTGGCTTCTCTTTTATTATCCTCCAATGTAAAGCTCACAAGTATTTATCGCCTGGTTAAATGCAAGTAAATATAAACTATATTAAAAACACATACAAACAAAACGCAGATACACACACACAGGGAAAGACTTCTGAAACTCCATGCATGAACTCTGTCAGAGGAAGGATCTTACCATTCTATTTCTATTTGTGAATTTTCTCGAGGCCTGTTGCTAGAAGCCAGTTTGGTTTGTATTTGTGGGTTAAATCCAGGTTTACTTTGAGTGAACTCTGACTTTTCTGTCACTTTCCTCAGTTGAGTGTAAATCACCATAGCAACAGACTCCATACAGCGACTCTGCTCTGGACCAGGGATTTGTTTTAGACCTGGTTTAGACCACAGGACCAGAGACAGGTCTGTTTTAGGCCTGGTTTGGACCGCAGGACCAGAGACAGGTCTGTTTTAGGCCTGGTTTGGACCGCAGGACCAGGTTGCTGGATTCAGTCACCATTGTACATTCCAAAAAACTTCTAGCACACGATTTTACATGAGTAAAATCTAGAATGTTTTGGCTGAAATGTGTCCATGAAGCACAAATATCCACAGTGAAGTTGTGCCACACTAAAATGATCTCAAAACAGTGAGACGTCATAAGAATACAGATTTGAGATTTATTTATTCCATCCTCACAATGTAAAAAATGCATGTCCACAGTCTCCTCTGTATTGAGGAGATTGCTTTTCTGCCGAGCCGGACCTTATGCAGACTGTGCAAGTTGGGAAGGATTCTCATAGACCCCCAAGGCTTCATAACTGTATACTTACCTTGACCTATAATTGGGGCGGAAGGAGCTGTACAGGGCTAAATATAAGTGCACTGCTGAAAGCTGGAAATACAGAAATGATGCAGCTCAGGAAGTAGCAGGCAATAATCAAAAAAGAAAAATATCCTGTTCAGATTTTTTTGTTTATATTGTTAGCATAAAGACAAAGAACCTCATTCACAACTAATACAAAATACTTTGAGCTGTCATATGTTACGGACACGCTACTGAGACGCGGGATCGGGATTTCAGACTTATGCAGCTAAAATATGGATCAGTATTCCTACGGTTGTGAGACGGGCCAATACCAACCATGTTCAAAACCCTGATTCCATTTTGTTTGATTCATTTGTCCATTTCAGTAGGTTTTTTTTAAGCCCAATACTTGCTCTGCTGTTTGAATATGATATCATTATTTATTGATGTATCAACTTTGATTGTTTTGATAATTATAAATGTTAAGAGAACCTTTAAACGTCCCACAGTGGGGATATTTTTCATGTTGTTTTCATGTTTCAGGACAGTAGTAAAGCACTCAGGGAGCACACAGAACATACAATAAACAGTAAGTAGCTGCTATGCTTCTTAGCTAGCTGTAAATGCTTCAATATCAATACGTCTAAAATAATGTAAATAAACAAATAGAATTAATAGAATGGAACTTGTCAAGGAGTGAAATGAAGGAAGGACCCAAAATGCAGAAAAAACATGATCTAAGGAAGATGATGACGTTAAAGTCCAGGGAAAAACAAACTCAAAATCCAAACCAAACTTACAGTAGGAACCAGGAAAACAAACAAGCAAAGACAATGCACCAGCAACAAGGGGAGAGGAGCACAGGTACAGATAGACACAGGGACAGAGGTGAAATGTAGACAATCAAGACAGAAGAGCAGAACAGGAGGTAAAACTAAAAATGAAACCATAGAGGGCTAATGTCAAAATAAAATCAAATTACAAAATGTCCCAAAATCCACACCATGACAGAACTGAACTGCAAAAGTATAGCGTTTGAACGATACTTTTACGAAGAATCAGCTGGAGGGCCCCTGAGCTGGCTTTTGTTTATCCGGGGCTCCAAGGTGAATCCGGTTTTGCTTATCCCATAGTCCAGGGTCTTGTCCATACAGTGCCCCTGTGTTACTGGTATGATGGTGTTGTGTCTGACCCTCTTCCTGATACCAGCACTGACGCCATTAGGACGACCAGCGAGCTCTGATATTAGCTTCTCTTCTGCGTTTCCCACTCAGAGCGGTGTGCGGCTGACGGAGCCTGACCTCTGCGGCTGATTACCTGTCACCACACAGGAGCCACTGGGCAGGTCGGCTCAGAGCCCCCTTAAATGGACCCCATCACAGATTGTCTATTAAGGGCTGCGGTAGAGGCACCCGGGGCCCCATATCCAGACAGTGGGAGCCATTATGAGGGGTTTTATGTTGTTGTCTCTTGTCTGCTGTCGGCTCCGCTTGGGAAAATGATGTTAGGGCCGTTCAAAAGAAGAAAGCACAGATCTGAAGTTGCCCGGTTATGTGTTGATATGTATTTACCTTAAATATATTGTAAGATTTTCATGTAAAGTCATTATCAAATGGCCCTAATCTGTCAAAAGGCATTAATAAACCATGCTCTTTTCAAATACTTATTTAACTGATAACAGTAGTTCAGCCGAAATATTTTAGTTTTACAGCCCCTAAATCCTGTTATTGTTTTCAATTCAATGTCCCGCCCCCTCCACCGTTTTACCAATCAGAACGTCTGTGATCCGGGTTGCCAGAACTCATCCCGTCAAGCGATTCTCACAGGCAAAGTATATGTGGCTGCAGAACAAAAAAAAGAATCGCTATAATTCTCAAATCATAAATGACAAAACACGGAATAACACAAAGATTTCTATCGATTCCTTTGTGAGAAAAAGGTTAAAGATTTGTTGTTGACAAAACTCCTGTATATTCAGTATTATGTTCCCAGGTGGATTTATCAGCATATCTGGCAACCTGAGTCAGGGAGAGTGGGAGAGGTTGCAGTACCACTTTTGGCCAGATTTTTACATACTGCTCCTTTAAAGAGAATTTCATATGCGTTATTTTTGGTGATTAAAAACAATTTACTTGAATGTGCCGTAATATCTTCAGTAGAAAATACATCAATGAACAATTATGAAGAGTAAAGTATTCTTTTGGCCTGCCCTGTCCCTGTGCTACCACCAGAGGGAGAGGGGAAATATGTTTTGGTGTTTTTTCCCATAATTCAACATTACCGGCTGCAAACACAGACGTCACTGCAGATAACATTGTTTTTCTGGAAAACTTGCCAAGAGTAATTTATTTGCAATATTTTAGTTTTGAAAAATATGAGATGTCATAGTGGTACAATGACATCTTACTATCACAGGGCTGAAACAGCAGGGGTGGAGTTACATGTTTGCTTTCAGAAGTTCATATTAGTGTAAATGGATCTAGGAATAATTAGGAATAATGTTGTAACATGGTTAAAAAAGTCATTTTCACTAGTTTTTATTTAATGGCCTCTGTCTTATCTCAGCTTTTTCACACAGAAAGTGATAGAAAGAGGACCACCCCCAGAGAATCAGCTCTCATTAAAATATTTTCAAAAGAGATTAAGACAGCGTGATGATGTGGTCTGATTTTACTTCACCAAAACTATTTCTTTTGGGACGAACAAAGTGTATTTATTTCTGCAAAAAAAAGTACAGCTCCCTCAACTTTCATGGCGCTCTGCTCAGAAGCTCTCTCGTTGCTGCATGTGGACGAGCCAGAGTTGCCTTTTAGACGCCCAGTGACCCACAATAAAATCTGTTTTGATAATGTGGCTCTATTTAAATCTCCTCTGAGAGACATGTGAGCTCAGGAAACCCGGCCTCAGTCTCTTTCATTTTTGCACAAAACTTGAAATATAACGCAGCAAAACCAAACACACTGAAAGGTTGACCGGAGGCAACATCTCTAAACTTAACTACGGTGCCTTTGCCAATATGTAAAACAATACTCAGTGCCTTGGAGGAGAAACCAGTACTTAACATGCACTCGTCACACTTTGGTTTGTTTTCATTTTGATGCTTATAGTAGCAGTGTCCATTTTCACAATAAAACATTTTTTTTTTATGTTTTATATGACATTTTTACAAGCTGTGAGCCAATTACTAAGATTAAAATACATAAAGACTTGATATATATTAATAACTCTATATATTAGTTTCACATGAATTTGCCCATGCCTGCATGTGAAAGCCAGATCCCTTCAGACTTCTGAAGCTAAGCAGGGCAAGGCCTGGTTACTTCTGCAATGGGAGACCTCTGAGAACACCAGGTGCCCCATTGGGGCGGCTGTAAAGTGCCTAACTGTTGTTGTGTCCTTAGGCAAGACACTTCACCCACTTTGCCTGCTAGAATGAGTCTGGTGTGTGTGTGAATGGTTGGTGGTGGTCGGAGGGGCTGATGGCAAATATGGTTGCCTTGCTTCTGTCAGTGTGCCCCAGGGCAGCTGTGGCTACAGTCGCAGTTTAACACCACCGTGTATGTGAGCGAATGAATAATGACATGTGAAGCGTCTTTGAATATCCTGAAAAGTGCTATATATAAAACTGATGCATTATTGTTATTATTATTATTATTATTAATTATAATTACAAAAATAAGTTAAGATAAGATCAAACTTTATTTATCTCACAGTAGAGAAATTTACATTTGGCATAAATACTCAGGGTGTGCAAAAAGACAGGAAATGTGCAAACATATTAAGAAAGTAAAAAGAGTAACTTTTGTGCAATAAAGGTTCTTTTATGTACAATTAAAGTTTAAAAGTGACTATAGCAGCGCAGGTTTACAGTAAATGGACTTTTGAACGATATTCTTAGTTCTAATTTTCAAGTTTCACCTGTGTATGTGTGCAATAAAACCAAGGGCTTTTTTAGTTAAATTGGCTTTGTCCTATGACTTTAGGACAAAGCCAATTTAAAACTGAAAATTTCACTCTGAAAGACATTTAGAAAAAAGCAGGCGAAACACTTTCATAAGTATATTTGTTATTTAATCTTGATTATGCCCCGGTGTCAGAGTTCTGCTTGGAAGTTGGGCAGAGGTTGTGAGGGCGACCGGCAGCCTGAACCTCCACAGACGCCCGGAGGACCTTCAGAAGTCAGGGCCCTGCTTCTTCAGGCTCTTGTAGTCCGTGTTGACAGCCGCAAACTGCAGAGGAGACACCAACAGGAATATATTTAAATATGTTTAGCTTACATTAAGTTATCATCTTCACTGAGTGGGGCAGATATTGCTTCGTTTTTTTACTGGAAAAAAGAACGGATAATAATATCATCCAAACTGCATTTTAATGAACTCACAATATTCAATTGTGTTCTAAATGAACATGATTCTTTAACCAGAAAAAAAACAATGCTTGAGGCTTCCCTCTGCCCCTCTCCCCTCTTCATTATGATTATTGTTTGGACTGTGGCAGAATTTTGAAGTCGACCTTTGGCTCAGTGTGCGGAATTAAACATGCCGTGTCGCGACCTTTCCTCTGCAGCCACTTTCATTCCATTGGCAGCAACAGCGGCTCGAATAAGCCCTGAAAACACTCTGAGATCTGCCAAAAGACTCCTCTCTTCTACTCCGTGGCATGGGCAGGGCCTCTACTGTGTTTTTGAATGTATTTGCTGGTTTGTAATGGTGAAAAATGGTTGTTTAGGCCAGTTTAACACATTATTCACTTTTAATGGTCTGATAAAGTCATAGCCATTACAATCTTCCCACTGTATTACGCACGACTACTTGTATATGTTTTGTGACTATGTTTGTATCTGCATTTTGTTTGTGAATATTGCAATAAAAAGAAAGATCAGACCAGCTAAATTTCATCCAACAATCTAGCAACCTCAACAAGAAACTCATTCTGCTCTCTGATTGGATAAAAATCAAAAATATAAGTAAGTAAGTAAGTAAGTAAGTAAGTTTTTATTTATATACCGCCTTTTCACTGCATATCTGAGTCTCAAAGCGGTTTACAATTGTTAATTTTGGGCATTTGTCTCTCACTCCACACAGAGATGGGAGCGGGGTCGCCAGTACAGGAAGCGCATGCCAGAACTATTGGACATATTTTTAGTGGTAGGGGAAACCGGAGTACCCGGAGGAAACCTACGCAGACACGGGGAGAACATGCAAACTCCACTCACAAAGGCCCTGGTCCGACCGGGATTCGAACCCAGGACCTTCTTGCTGAGAGGCGAGAGTGCTATCCACTCAGCCACCGTGCCGCCAGTAGTATAGTTATGAGCAGCGTGTCAATTTTTTTTAATGAAGAATGGCTCTTTGACACTGTAAAAATCAAAGAGGAAAGGGTAAATTATGTACTTATTATAGAGGAACACATATACAACGTGTGTAGATGCACTTTAAGATAAAACTGTTATTTATAATCCCTTTAGGGTTAGATTAGAAAAGGTGTTAATTTCAAACCTGCAAAATATATTTTCACATACATCAACATAAACACAACACAGAGATACAATACAAGGTTGGAAAAGGAGTTGGAAATTGCAAACACTTTATCAAATCCATTCTCACACATTCAACACAATACAATACAACACACAATCGACGGTATGAGACTAGACAAGACAACACACACACACACACACACACACACACACACACACACACACTCAGACAAGACACAGACCCAAATACCCTCTGACCCTCCTCTGACCCCTCCTCATGCCCAGTGCTGAGGGCATCACTCTCTTTCCTCCACGTACTGTTGATATCAGGATGCATATAAAGGGACAGGGGCCTCAACTTTATTTTATTTATTTTTTATTTTTGGAGATTGATGGTTGTGGTGTTTTGGCAGTTCTGACAGGGACACCTCACCTTGTACTGGTAGGTGGGATCAAGCTTGTTCCACGGCTCAGGGTTGTTCTTTTTGTCCCAAAGGCTGAATGTGGAAAGAATGAGGCCAACGACAAGAAAGAGACACATGAATAAAGCATGCAGACACACACACACACACAGAGACAGAGACGCACACACACACACACGCACACACTTTCACCCCTTTTTCACTGGACTTCTCATCTTCTATGTTACAAAGTGTTCAAAATGAGACTGCTTCAATATGATACAAAATCAGTGGTCTACGGAGAGCTGCCCCTTCCTTCTCCAACACAAAGTTTCTGTGGCTAAATGCACGGTTAATACAGGGTTACTCACATATCCTGATGGTCATGTGTTGGATGCCAGACATAGTTTGGATAGAATGATTGGCAGTCATGCACCAGTCCAGTCATTTGAACCATGTGCCTAATTTGCATGAACTGTTTATGTCAACAGATATCACTATCTCTCAGATGGACCAGGAACACCTCAGAATTTCCCTGGATGAGCTGAACGAAGTGCATCTGTAATTGCTCCATTGTGAGATCAGTAAAGTGTATCTTATCTAATCTTATGTGGACAGGGAAGTCTGGGCGTCTCAGACAACTGCCCCCGTGACCCGGTCATGGATAGAGAGGAAGAAAATGGATGACGGACATTTGATTTATTATATTATTAATGTCATTAAAACCAAATATGTAAAAAATTAAACTTGAAAATATGTATAAAGAGCAAGAAAACAATTTACAAACCTACAAGCCAGGGGTGTAAGTAAGTTAGTAGTAAGTTTTTTATTTATATACCGCCTTTTCACTGCAGATCTGAGTCTCAAAGCGGTTTACAATTGTTAATTTTGGGCATTTGTCTCTCACTCCACACAGAGATGGGAGCGGGGTCGCCAGTACAGGAGGCACATGCCAGAACTATTGGACATATTTTTAGTGGTAGGGGAAACCGGAGTACCCGGAGGAAACCTACGCAGACACGGGGAGAACATGCAAACTCCACTCAGAAAGGCCCTGGTCCGGCCGGGATTTGAACCCAGGACCTTCTTGCTGAGAGGCTAGAGTGCTATCCACTCAGCCACCGTGCCGCCCCAAAAAGTTTGGGTGTCCAAACTTTTCAGTGAGAGGGCCACTTAAGTTCACCAGACCTGTCCAGAGGCCGACAACCCAGATTGTAAACTGTTTTGCGTATATTCTGGCTGTTCTGAGCTTTGTAATTACCCACGATGGAACTGAAGTTGGCTGAATGACAAATTACCATCTCACCAGCCTGGTGACACTGTGAACCTGTGCTTATGATCAAAGACTAGTCTATGTTAAGCCTAGCGTACAACAGAGTAACTGGAGACAACTAGTTGCAAGGCGGCTTTTGGCAAATGAGAGGAGATGATGGGAGATGATCAGTTGCCGAAATCGGTCGATGTGAGCGCTCTTACAACTGGAGATGATCAGTCGGTCTCCAGATTCAGTCAGTTGCCCGTGTTCTACTTTTTGTTGTACTCAGATCCGGAGATATCACCCGATGTGAGCGCTCCTAATAGATCCATGGCGCGCTCCAACAACATGTGTGTATTGCGTGCCTTCTATAGTTTATGTCAGAAAACACACTGTAGTTGAGGCCGGCTGCTGTCGATGTTCACGCTGTTATTCCCGAGACTGGTCTGCTACTAGGAGTTGCCCGTTTTTGCCAGATTGTTGATGTGTGCGGGGCAGCAACTCATATGCGACGTATATAATCAGTTGCCAGTCCGATGTACGCTAGGCAGAAGCGTACAATAAGACTCTGGAATTCTTCAAGAATAAGTATCTTAATAAAGTTGGGGACAACGTTTTTTGTCCCCAAAAAAAGTGTCTTGTTTAAATAAATCAGACCGCAACGTTTTTAAATATATGTTCTCTTTAACATCTTTGATTTCATTTCAGATTTATGCAGCAAAACTCCTGAAAATTTGAGACAGGCTTCTACTCTGACAATGTCCAAAAGCAGGTTATCACAATAAGCATCAGTTTTATGAATACCTAAAAAACATTTCACATGGGGCACACTTAGCCTGGTCGTACCAAACCATAGTACAAATTACATTTCGTACTAAGGTCTGGAGGTGCTCCATTGAGCTCCGTTAACAGGTGGGAGGGGCAAAGTCCTTTTGCAGATTGAAACGATTGGATCTTAGTTTACCGTCACATATGTTATGCGCCCGAGTGAGTCGTTAGCATGTAGCCTAGCGTTAGCCATTTCCTTTGCCACTAACGGAGCCCGTGGGGAGTAGCGCCACAATCTTTGCCAGCAAAGATTTCTTGATAGAACAAGACCGGATTACTTTACTGTCGCATTCTTCGCCATTGCCAAACTACAACCTGATCGTTCGACGCAAACTCTTGACATCACCCACAACTAACTACAACACCCGCCTTCCGCGCTCGCTGATTGGTCGGTCAAAATTCAACCGATAGTTATTGCTAACATAGGGACCAGACCCAAACGTTACATGCAGGAAAATGATGATTGACCGGAGTGTAGGAATGCTAAGGCCAGGCTAGGGCACACTGACAGGAGCAAGAGAACCACGGTGTCTTCTTTAGTGTTACTTCCTGTTTCCTGACAACCTCATGCATGTCACCTGTGTCTGGCTAGTCTTGTGTATTTAAACCCTGCATGTGTGTATTCCTGTATGTTCTCTTTAACACAATGAGAAGTGATTGGACGATTGCCTGAGAGCGAGAGCTGGTCCACACATACATGTGAAAACTGAATAGAACCAAACCGTTTTGAGAGCTGGGAACTAGTTACATGGATTTTATTGTTATTTTTGTAGAGGCTTTAAAATCAGGTCCTCCAACTTTATTTCCTTAAATGTTGCAGACTTTTGAATTAGGCAGCGCTCACAAACATTTTAATTTGTGATTACAAAAGTAGACAGTGTTTGTGGATGTGTTCTGTCTGATGCTTACGTGACATGGGGGCCTCTGGACAAGCGGAGCAGGTAGAGCACGGCCCCCGTGACGCCCAGAGACAAGAAGACCAACTGAGGGATGAGCTGCAGAGACACACACACACACACAGGAATGAAAACATACACACACATTTGAGAACACACACAGGAAAGGGACCTGTCATTATGCAAGACACATTTACACACACAAACACACACACACACACACAAAAGTACAAACAGACACGCGTGCATACAAACACAAATACATGCACAAACACACGCACAGACACACATACATATATAAAGCTTTTGCATATGCTGCTCCTTTTTCATGGAACGTGTCGCAAAAAGACTGGAAATGATCAGAACTTATTTCATTGAGTAGTGAGTAAGTAAGCTTTATTTATATACCGCCTTTCACAGACCAGAGTCACAAAGCGGTTTACAATTGTTATTTTTTTTTGGGCACTTGTCCTCTCACTCCACACAGAGACAGGAGTGGGGTCGCCGAACAGGAGGCGCATGCCAGACCTATTGTACATATTTTTAGTGGTAGGGGAAACCGGAGTACCCGGAGGAAACCTACGCAGACACGGGGAGAACATGCAAACTCCACTCAGAAAGGCCCTAGTCCGGCCGGGATTCGGCCCAGGACCTTCTTGCTGAGAGGCGAGAGTGCTATCCACTCAGCCACCGTGCCGCCAGTGTGCTTTTACATCCAGATTGAGAGCCCTTGAGAAATCCTCATTGTCATGTAACTATTTTTATAATCTGCAATTGTCTGTAACTGTGTGTAACTTTTGTCCAGGACTTCGTATTTCCCGGTTAAAAATGGGTTTTATTTACAAAGGCATATACATACAAACATACACGCACACACAGACCCAGACGCACACAACCCTGCCTCCTTCAGCCTCTGTCTCCGTGAGCGACAGACACACACACACGGATCCAAACAGACGCACAATGACACAATGACACCATGACACAATGACAGCCCGATAATGTCGGATTAAATCAGTGCAGCTCAGGTGCGACATGTGGAGAAGTTTATTTGTTGCTTCCTGCTTCACATCGGTCTCCTCAACTCGCAGGATTGGGATTATCATAATTTGTCCGATTCATGCCAACTCTGACACACTCTCCGTGGGTCAAATTATGCTTAGATTGTGGAGATCTGAAATCAGCTGAATAAATTCACTTTTGACACTGATTTTATGTCAGATTTATGCAGCTAAAATCCTGAAAATGTGAGACAGGCTTCTGCTCTGACAATGTCCAAATGTAGGTTTTTTACAACAAGCATCAGTTTTATGGATACTAAAAAAGCGTTTCACATGGGGCACACTGACAGAAGCAACCACCGTGTCCTCTTTAGTGTTGCTTCCTGTTTCCTGACTACCTCGTGTGTATCACCTGTGTCTCGGTCTTGTTTATTTAAACCCTGTGTATTCTTCCTGTTCCGTCCTTGTCATTCCCACATCAGTTTTAGTTCTTGTCCTCGAGCCCTATTTTGTAAAGTTTTCGCTCAATTTTTGTTGTACTACTTTTTTTTTTTGTGTGTGTGTGTTGGGTTTATTTCCTGTAACCATCGCAACACACCAGACTCATACTATGCAGTGTCGGTGAAGTGTCTTGCCCAAGGACCTAACAACAGTTTGGCACTTTACAGTGTCTCTACTGTGGGAACTGGTGTTTCCATAGGTCTCCCTTCACCGCACTAACCAGGCCCTGCCCCGCTGAGCTTCAGAGGTCTGACGAGGATCTGGCTTTCACATACAGGTGGCGCCACAAAGTTAGAATCAAATCAAACTATTCTAGACAAAAAGTTTGACCAATATTCCGGAGCCTCCTGTCGTTAGACCCTTCTTTATTATTTTTTACATCTATAACAGTAACATGTGAATCACAAATTGCTGTATTTAACGGGGGGACATCGCAAATTAATAGAAAAAGAATTATAAAGTGCTTTGTGACCAATAGTCTGTGAAAAGTGCTAATTATGATCAATCAATCAACTTTTATTTGTAGAGCACACAATGCAACACAAAGAATCTCACAACCCATATCGGTTTAGTATAAACTGCAAATGCGTCTAACAGCAGCCGTAACAACATGTGCTTACGAACCACGCAAGCAAGAATTAATTACATGACAAACAGTTATCAGAAGCTGTAACCAAATTATTTATAACTGGCGCCTAGTGAGAGTGTGAGAGAGCAGTGCTTAGTGGTAATGCAGAGAGAACATCTGGGAGCAGGCGGCGTGGATCGCAGACGCAGACACATGACAGTTTGATGGGCGCGCATCTGTCCTGTCTGTACACGCTTCTCCAATCTGCTGCCTCTCAGCCACCGCTCACAATCACACGCCGTCATGAGGCCACAATACAGGCGTGTGCGAAGAGTGAGGGGCCTCCGTCTTCTTCCTGGATTATCGATATGAGGGTTAAGAGATGTATTCAAGCATTGTTCATGTTATTTGACCTATTACTTCAACGCCACTCGGGACGCCGTTGGAAGCACTGAGCCGTGTCAACTGTTTTTTTTTTTTTTTGGATCTTTGCTTGCCGATAAAGAACGGTCTAAGGACAGTGAGTATCTGGGACAGTCAAGTACATTTATGGACATTGGTCATCCCGCTCCCTAAAGACCAATGGCTCATATCTGTTTGTTTATATTGCACTTCCGGTGTTGGTTCTCTGATATGTTGTTGGTGAATCGAGACGAGACGACTGCTGCTGTGATTTAGGGGAAAAACAAAATATATTGAATTGAGTGTTCAGATGTTGACGCCAGGCTTAGTCATCATCATCATGTTTTTAGCAATTAAATTTGTTTTCATTTTTTAGTTAAACTTGCCTCTTTTACCAATTATAACATCCAGTTTCCGAGAACAGATTTTCACGTCTTCACACTCTTTGAAACTTGTCAAGCGGCCGTTTGTAACAAAACGTTTTTAAAAGTCGTATAGTTCTGTGATGGAAGTAACCCATTCCCATTCCCTCCTAATATGCATATGTTTCAATTAAAAACACACTGACAATTAAAGAACGTGTTTGAACATTTGTGCAAAGCTAGTTTTGGTTGTTGCTTACTACAAATGTGAATCCGATTTACAGCGGGGCAGGTCTTTAGTCTGCCACCAACTGTGCAAGTTACCACTTTCATCTTCACCTTCATCATAGCTATACCTCAACTATGAATTACTTGAATTACAGAAGTAGACTTTTGAACAAGTTTGCCCGTAAGTGGATAACCAAAATAACTATCTTCAAAAAATTTCCTGTTTTTTCCTCTTCAACACACAAAATGATGTTTTGTGGCCCATGGGCTGTTTCTATTGTTCCTTCCTTGATTGTAGTCTTTCTTTCTGTGGTTGAGGAGCTGTCCATCGCCTGGTGCTGAAGTCTGAAGCCAAATCCAGCGTGACATTTACACTGAGCATGTATCCTGTAAGAGCAGTTTTCTCCACAGTGGAGTTTGGTTTCGTTTTTGGCCTTATTATTTTTCTGATGCTCTACCAAAACCAGCCGTCGTCACTTCAATCTGGGTCAGCCTCCACTCACACATGAGCACTGATGCAGAAGAAGCCTGCACTTTGGTCATTCATAAAATAAGGGTTATATTTCAGAATGTTCACATTTTTTCATTTTTAAAAATGTGGATAAATAGTATTTATTTCTGAATCTTCAAAGGGACAGTATTGTGACACGTTAATAATAAACATTCAATTACATAATTATGATGATTTGTGTTATTATTGTTCTAAGAGGACTTGTTGTATCCATTCTTCAATCAAGTAACTTCTACCCCCAGACACCAGCTATACTCACCTTTATTTTTACCATGGAAATTTCACCTGTACAGTTCAGGATTAACTTTAAAATCTTGGTCCTGACAAAACATGTGCAGGGTCACTGTGCAGAGAATGTTACCACATATTTGGAGTCATGAAAGGTCAAAACTACAGGGCCTCAGCTTCGCAATGAGCCATTTTTTGGTTCTCCAACTCATTTCAGTTGTTGTAGATAAAACAACAACATTAGTTTTGTATTTTAGCTTTTGATAGTAATAAACAGTCATTTCAAATCAAAATGTATGCTATAATGAACCTACCCCGGGATGCTTCTTCAGCTGTTTGCGCATTGTCTCCATAATGTCTGTAATCCCAACAGAAATCCACTCAAGATAGACAGAAGCAAAAGTACCGTGTTAGTGAAAAGACTTGAAGAGCATTGAGTTGGCATCGCTTTCCAAATTTGGTGCCAGCTCTCACCCAAAGTCCCGCCCCCTTGTGCCATTCTCCTCTCCTATTGGACGGTGTGAGTGTCATGGGGAGGCCAGTGCATTTGGTAAAACTCTTAATCCTTCAGCCAGATAAAGACTGTGCATGTTTTACTGCTGCTCTTAAACGATTACGCAACAAACTCCAGGCATAGTGTGCGATGGCTTTCCTCCATCAGGTTGGCAATATTAGTTGCTAGCTCTTTCTGGTTTGGGGGATAAAACTACTGTGGCTGTAAGAAAGAAGTTGATGCTAATACAGATAAATGCAGAGATAAATAAAGGGGTTTTAACCTAAAGCATGGGGTGTCATTTTGTTCGGGGGCCAGACTTAAAAAATAACAGCTCCTGGGGGCCGAAAGTGGAAGGTGTTTGAAGCTCATCTTTGTACCTGTGGACATTTTTTTATATATATTTTTTTTATTATGAAGGTATTTCATGAAGGTGGAAAAATTGATTCCTTTAATTTAACCTAATTTAAATTAATAGTTGCTTTTATGAAGTGAAAATGTGATTCCTAAATATGGAAAGGTGACATTACTTAGGGAAGATGTTTGGGTTTTTTATGCTATTAAAGGAAAAGAAAGGTCTTTTCTATACTGCAGGTGTGTCCCATACCGGCGTTACAACAGGGAGAGGACAGAAATGTGCCAAAATAAAAGCATCAAAACAGATTTTTTCGACTTTCATAAAACAATTTTCTAAAGTCACAGCGCATTACACTAAGGACTCTAGGGTTATTGTACATATTTCAAGTGGTGGGTGAAACCAGAGCGCCAAGAGGAAACCTACACAGACACGGGGAGAACATGCAAAATCCTCTTATGTTGGCCCTGGTTACGATTGCTTGTGTGAGACCATTCTACCATAACGGGGTATTGGATCTCACTCAGCCTCATCATGCCCTCCTAATATGACACTAAATTATTCTACCAATATGATGACAGCTGTGATTCAGACTTTATAGTGAAGCATAGTAATAAATAAGCGTTGTTAGTGAATGCAATCACTTATTTGCATAATTTGGACCTCCCACTGTCTCTTATTGAACACTCTGGAGCTGCCTCTGTCTCCAAGTGAGCAGTTTCGAACGTAGCTTGTGTAAAATAGTTGCTTTGGAAACCACCAGCCTTCCTGCCTTTGTTATGGACATGGAGTGATGTGTGAGTCACTGAAGTGCAGTACAAGCAAAGCATTATGGGATAGCAGCATGTCCAGCACCAGTGATGTGTCCCCAGGGTCCAGACCTTTGTCCTGATGCTGATAACGCTCATTGATCTGCCGCTGATGCAGTGGCAGCACAACTTCCAGAATCTTAAACTACATTTAATGTAATTAATGAAAAAATGCTACGCTGGGCAAAACACACAGGTGATTACCATTTTTCAACACTCCGTCTTTTCACAGCTGAACATAGGAGCGCCGCCTCAGCGCGTCAAAACACACAAGAAATATGTTACATCATTTATATTCCTCAGATCGACAGTGTAATATTTATCTCAGCCGTTTGTCTGTGGAGAATATTGACAAATACTTACAGATCGGATCTATTGAGAGGCAACTACACAGAAGCATGGAGGATATGTGAATGATACCTTGGTCAGTGACGATTTCATTGCAAATGGATTATTATTAGATTGAGACCATTGATTATTATTGATTATTACTGTTTAAACTGAATGTAAAATTACAGGTTCCAGATCACTTTGCCGAAGTGGTCACCATAGTAACACACAGCGATGAGCACAGAGTTATTTTTGTATTTATTATTAATAAAATACATCAGACATTAGATTACATTAGACCGTCGTGACACAGGTTAGTTTTACCCTACTCAGTTCAGTTCAGGTCAGTTCAGTTCCTACTAATGATCTGTTGTTGCAATAGTACTCCTGCTCTTAATAAATGTTGTATCTATTAAATAAATAAATACTTATACACTTCATTAATCCCTGCACTTTGACATTTACTTAACCACCACTGAGATTTCAGAATGTCTTCTTCAGGGAGTCCAGGCCTCAGAGGGCGGCAGCAGGAGTGGGGTCAGGAGGGAGTTATGGGGGACTATTGTACATGTTTTTAGTGGTAGGGGAAACCAAGGGAAAACTTACACAGACATGGGGAGAACGTGCAAACTTCCCACAGAAAAGGTCTGCAGGTGGAATCCGGGACCTTCTTGCTGTGGAGCATAATCACTAACCAAAAGCAAGATATTGATTGTTGATTCTGTAAAATTCATTAGTTAAATTTCGGATATGAAAAACATGTTTTTTTTTTGAGAAACAAGTGGACAAAATATGTATTCTTTTATGTATTGAGTGTTTTTACTATGATAGTAGCAGATTTTTACTACTATTCATCCTTACACAGCTAGAACAACAATGAGAATGTAGTGGACCCCCAATACCCTTCTATCCAATCTATTTTTTTTTTTTTTTATACAGCAAATACGACAGTTTCCAAAGAGGGAAAATTAAAGTACAGTCACACAATCTCCCGAAATAAATGTAACATAAAGTATAAGATAATCCAAAAAGCTGTAATTTAAATTTTACCAATACAATTAGAGTAAAACAAGAACACATTAATGACTAAAATAAAATAACAGATTTAGTAACAAAAAAAAGATATCCCCATGGTTTATTTATGTTTTTTTTTTTTTTTTGCTTTGACATAGGGGAAAACATGCTCTTTTTTATTGTATGTGTCTGCTTTAGAACCCATAACGCTGCTAAAAGATGCCTGGAGCAAGAGAGTCCATTTTACATCCTTTAAATGTTAGCTATATATACAACCAAATGCACCGGGCTGTTTACCTCCTGCTTTTCACCCAAACCACTGCTATTTCTGTAAAGCACATGCCAAAAGTAATGGGAGCCATTTTTCACCCCGCAAGCTCAGATAGATGGATTGATGGAGAAGGAAAGGTGCTCAACAAAAGAGGAAAGAGATGGAGAGCTACATTACACAGAGAAACGTCGATACTGCCGCTCCATCTGCCTCACGTCGTTCCAATAACACGTCTCCGCAGCGGCGCACTTTCCAAATGTGTTTTTGTTTGTCAACTGACCTATGGAGGAATCGAACTCAAACTGGCTCTCTATATCCCCAATAAAATCTCTGCTCTATCTCACCGTTAAGACACATTTAAAGGTCCTATATCACGCTTTTCTTCATGTTTCACACTCAATCCTATACACATGTGTGATATTAATGTGTATGATACACCACACAACAATCAAAGCTTGTGAGATTAGAGCCATCTCTTGTATAGAGGTGACGTCACCTCGACTCAAACGAGCTGATCCAGAGTCTGCTCCTCTGCCTGTGAGCCCGCCTCCCGCCGCCCGCACGGTGACGTAGCATCACGCTTTTGTCGTTTATCACCTGTACTTAGTAATTTCATACATAAGAATAAACTTTTTCCAACAATGACAATCCGTCACATCGAGCCCTATGTCCTAGATGCACAATCAGACGACCCTAGTTATTTAGTTTACAGAAGTATACAGCGAGTTAGCGTCACTACTTACAGATCGAGGGGGTCCGAGTTACGTCTTTCACCGTGGGAATAACGTGTTTCCAGATCAGCTTTTGAGTATGTCCAGTTCCATTGTCTCTGTAGTTCTGGAACAGTCTCAGTGAAGTGTCGCAGATGAACCGGTATTATAATAGATCCATGAGATGAACAGATGAAAAAAGTCAAGCCGCTTTCTTCCTCTTAGGGCCAAATAGTGTGTCACATATTTACACCCATAACACACTTCATTCAAGTTGACGTGATCCTAACACTTTTAGTTGCTGACAAAAGCATAAAAACAGCAGCTTTATGTGGTGTCCGCGAGACCAGACCACAGACGCTGGACTCGGGAGCCGGAGCCTGTGCGCTCTGATTCGCTGTTTTGATCCGTCAATCACCTCCCGCCGGCTTTTAATTTATTTTTATTTTTATTACTTTTGACAAAAAACAGCATACTAATTGTGTATTGTTTACCCCGTTTTGACAAAAGTATTTAACAACTATTTGAAATACAAAGCAAACGGGGTCATGCGCGTCATCAGTGTGGTTTTCGTCACTGAAGTGAACCCGAGCGTTTCTGTGCCTCACGCTGGGGAAGGAGACAGATTGTTCTCTTACAAAAGATTGACAGAATCAATGAATAAACTACTGTGGGCTTGTGTATGAAGGCCAAATAGCATTGTAATCATGTTTAAAGCAGAGAAAAGTCAAAAACCGTGATATAGGCCCTTTAAGGCACGTTTATGGCACTTTTGTCACGTTAACATTTCACAAATTACGAAGCTGTTACTGGACATACTTCTGCAACTTTTGAACAGTATGAATATGAAAAGAGTTCTGACGCTGAAATGGATTAAAAGATTCCATTGTGAACAATTCAATCTTGGTAGAAGCCTTGGGCATGGTTTACAGAGCATTCTCTTTTTGTTACAGCCTTGATCCAAAATGTATCACATTCTTGCTGTTTCTTGTCTGTCTACACACCTCAACACCTCAATCGTGAAACAGTGAATGAAGTTATTTAGGGTCTGTGATGCAACATTGAAATGTCACATGTACTCCCTCTGCTAAACACACAGCTCAGATTAAGCTGATTCTACTGATTGTTGTTGAAATGTTAGTATGTGGTGCGAGCAAGCCCCGGCGATCCAGGATGCGCCGTATTCAAATGAATGGTTGTGCTCAGTGGCGCTTTGTGACGGCATGGGTGCCGAAAAGATTAGCGGAAGTCGCCTGCAACTCGCAAAGATCTATGGGAAACTCGCAAAGATCTATGGGAAACTCGCAAAGATCTATGGGAAACTCGCCTGTATTTGGGCATCGTCTGGTCCTCCCGGTTCTG